GTTTTTTGATACTAGCCATCCTAATGTGTAGTATCTCACTGTGACTTAGATTTGCATCTCCCTAATGATTTCTGATGTTGAGCATCTTTTCATATGTTTCTTGGTATATTTTCTCTGGAGTAATGTCTATGCTAATCCTTTGCCCATTTTTAAAAAAGATTTTATTTATTTATTTGCAAAAGAGAGCGAAAGAGAGCACAAGCAGAGGTACTGGCAGAGGGAGAGGGAGAAGCAGGCTCCCGATGAACAGGGAGCCCGACCCATGCCTTAATCCCAGGACACTGGGATCATGACCTGAGCAGAAGGCAGAAGCTTAACTGACTGAGCCACCCAGGCACCTCTCCTTTGCCCATTTTTAATTGGATTGTTTCGTTGTTGTTGAACTGTAGGAGTTCTTTATATATTCTGACTCTTAGCTCCTCATCAGATATTTGATTTGCAATTATTTTCTCCCATTGCATAGGTTGCATTTTCACTCTGTTGATTGTTTCCTTTGATGCACAGAAATTTTAAATTTTGATGTAGTCAGATTTATCTATTTTTACTTTTGTTGCCTATGCTGTTGCTGTCCTAAGAAATGACTGTGAAATCAAATGTCATGAAGACTTTTTTCCCTATGTTTTTTTCTGAGAGTTTCATAGTTTTAGCTCTTATATTTAGGTCTTGGATCCATTTTGCATTGATTTTTGTATACAGTATGAGGTGAGGGTCCAACTTCATTCTTTTGCATATGGATATCCAATTCACCTAACATCATTTATTAAAAAGTCTCCTTTCCAGGGCACCTGGGTGGCTCAGTTGGTTAAGCGACTGCCTTTGGCTCAGGTCATGATCTCGGGGTCCTGGGATCGAGCCCCGCATCGGGCCCCCCGCTCGGCGGGAAGCTTGCTTCTCCCTTTCCCACTCCCCCTGCTTGTGTTCCTTCTCTCGCTTTCTCTCCCTCTGTCAAATAAATAAATAAAATCTTTAAAAAAAAAAAAAGTCTCCTTTCCCCCATTGGTCTTTGCACCCTGGTTGAAAATCATTTGACCTTATACATGAGGGTTTATTTCTGGGCTTTCTATTCTATTCCATTGGTCTCTAGAGCTGTCTTTTTGCCAGTTATCACACTGTTTTGATCACCATAACTTTATAATAAGTTTTGAAATCAGGAAGTGTGAAATGAAACCTCCAACTTTATTCTTCTTTTTTCAAGATTATTTTAGCTGTTTGGGGCCTTGAGAATGATTTTAACTAATTTAATAAGCAATAATAATTTTATAATTAATTTAATGATCTGCTAGGTTTCTTTTGTCTCTGGGCTCAGTAGTGGTCTATGCCAAATGAGCTTGAGATGTCATAAATTCCTTTTTAAGTTAGAAGAAGTAATGCAAAGACTTTGAGAAATAGGAATAGTGCAGTGGATTTATTAGGTATGACCCATGCATTCACCCTTAAATATGTCCTCTGAGAGGGCCCAGACCTTTCCAAGGCATAGAGAAACACACCAGTGAGAGAAATGCAGACATATGTGAAAGTGCTAGTGTGGATCTTTTCCATGCATCAAAAATGAATGTGAAGAGGCTGTCTTTGAAATGGACTTCCTAATATGAGTGAGGTTGATGGGACTGGATTCTGGGGTGGCAGCAGTACTCACCTCTAGTGACACAGAGGGTATGGTTACTACGACAATCAGCAGGGTCAGCTCATTTGTCAATTATTTGTCCTACAGGAACTTCATAGTGACTAAATTATCACAGGGACCTTGAATGAATAGAAGGACGTTCTACTAAGGTACTACTTGATTTATAAAACAAAACAAAACAAAAAAACCCACAGGTCTGGCAAATGGAGACCTAACTTTAGCTACCACATTTGAAATTCAGAGCCCCTCATTTAATTTCCATACCCAAGTTAGTTTACAGATCATGGACCCCTTGAATAAAGAAAAGACTATGACAGTGTCACAGTAAGTGCTATAGTTCTCCCAATCAGCTTCTCCAAATGGGCTTATGGAATGACCAATTTGGGGATAACTGGACTGGCTTTTTGTTCACACCAGTTCTTAGAGATGAAAAAAAGTCGTGATCCACAGGTGAGAGTGAGGTCTTGTAGAGGTCAAGTGATAAATGGAATTTTGGCTTTTGTCCCACTCATATGGGGTCCATGGGTTTATTCTGTGGCTAATTCCTGAGTTTCTAAGTGTAGAGTTGGAATACTTAGCAACCAACAGAATCTACACATGAGGTCAGTTACAGTAGTATCAAATGGAAGCCCCCGGAAGCTCCTCCTCCCAGTGAAAATACAAGCCAAAAGCAATGTCATCTCTCTGAAGGAATCACAGAGGTTTGTGCCTATATTAAATACTTCAGGTGCAGAGGTAATGATTCTTACTAAAGCCATTCAACTCACCTCCTTGACCTCTACCTAAAATAGATCATCAGGTCACATACATAGGACTAGGAATCAAAAAAGCATCCAATTTCTCAGCAGACATGCTGGAAAGTAGATGAGCAACGCTAGTAGGCAGAATAATGGCCTCCCACCTCCTGATTCCCAGAACCTATGAATATGCTCAGGCAAAGGAGAATTAAGGTTGTAGATGGAATTTTGGTTGCTAGTCACTGATTTTAAAATAGGAAGATTATCCTGGATTATTCAGGTGGACACAATGTAATCACAAAGGTTCACAAATTACATCCTTGTAATCACCTTTGAAAAGTGGAGGGGATGGGCAGAAGAAGAGAGAAGGAAATGTGACTCTAGAAGGTCAGGGAGATACCATGTTGCTGGCTTTTAACATGGATGAAGCAGTCCATGATCTAAGGAATGTGGGGGGGTTCTCGAGAAGCTGGAAAAGACATGGAAATGGATCCAACCCAGAGCCTACAGAAAGGAATGCAACCCTGAAGACACCTTAATTTTAGCTCTAGGAGACCTGTGTCAGATTCTGACCTACCTACAGAAATGTAAAATAATAAATTTGTGCTGTTTAAGCCACTAAGACTGTGGGAATTTGTTATGGCAGCAGTAGAAAACTAATAGAAATGTTTTCAAAATTCAGTTAGTTTCTATGTACCTTTTCTTGGGCAACTGCTAAAGAATGTGGTCTTCTAAAATAAAGGAGTAAATTTAAAAAAAGAGGAAAACAGGTATCTAGGAAACTGCAAGACCTAGCCACTGGGTAGAGAAGAACGGGGATCCTGGAAAAGCAGGTGTTCTGCAGACAGAAAGATCTGCCAGCCCAGGGAGGAGCAGCTGACAGCCCAGGAGGTGTGGGGGAAGGGCGATGGCAGACACTCTTTGTGCGTGGTCAGGTCACAAAGGGGTTTTTAACTCTTTCAAAAAATTGGGGAGGAATTAGTGATAGTGACATAGAAAACTAAGCCAGAAACAAAGAGGAAGTTTTAACTCCAGAAGAAGAAGGTTGTTTGTAAAAACAGAAATATAATTGTTATACCCTACTCGTCTTGGAAGTGAACTCTATTTGCATGTTTTAATAATACAGACATAGAAGTAACTTGATTGGAAGGATACAGGGAAGAAAAATAAAGGCTTAGACCTCTAGATCTCCATTTTTATTGGTTTACTGTTTGTTTGTAGACTACAGAGGCACAGAACTGAATTAATCATAATCCTTGGTTTATGCCTCACTCTTAATGTTGCCCCAAACAAAAACTAGAACCTTGACAATTATTTATAACCCCATCACCCTAACCCCTTCTCCTCCATCTCAAGTAACCAATATCCTAAATCCTGTGTTCATGATTCTTTTGCCTTCCTCACATTTAATCTGAGCACTTTCAATCCATGACCAGACTGAGGATAAGGTTCCTGCTAGACTAGAAACAGGAGGAGAGAAGGAGCTAGTAACATCAACCGCTTCGTACCCATAAGGCAGCAAATAGCTTATTCTCAGCAAGAGAGGCTACAAAGTCTCAGAAAGGAGAGTGAACTCAGGGCTTTCTCACATTAAATATCATTAGAATATTTTTTAAGTGCCATCCAGCACTGCACATACCTTATTTGTTCCCTCTTTAGCTACTCCTTGAAATGAGAGAGAATGGTGGGGGCGGGTACACAGAGATGCCAAAGCAAGATGCTAATGACCTGAACTCAGCACCATGAGCATCTTCTACCACCTACAGGCAACACTCTAAGACAAGCTGTTTCCCCAGTCGATGTTCCCCTGCCATCTTCCAGATTTGCCCTTGGCCCCCAACACTCTGGCATGCCTCCTATTATCCTAGAGCCTGTACCTTGGACAGCAGCACAGAGGCCCTGAGGCCTGCATGTCACACCAGTTTGGAGCAGTAAGGGTTTAGCTGAGTTCTGCCTGTGCCATCTGAGGACCCCGAGGCCCAGGCTGGCTAAAAGACAACTGTTTGCCTTGGCAACCTACCATGGTCAGTCAAGCAGGGCACCAGCAATCTGGAAGTCACTTACGGTCTGTTTGGAAGATGTTTCTAACCAGAATTGAGTTCTACTGTATTAGAGCCATGGACTCATTGGCCACGGGGTCTACCTAGTCATGCATTTCCCAAAACGTGTAACTCAAGCACTTATTTTTAGGACGGTTAACAGGTTTTACCCCAAAAGTGTCTCACAATCAAGGAAATTTGTAGAACGTTGAATTAAAAACAAATCAAGATTCTTTCTCTACATGCCTTCTCAAAATCTAATTTCCAAGAAGGTAGCATTTCCCCAGTTTTGCTGAGTGCTCTATAGCTGAGCCTCAGTCTCCTCAACTACAATGTAGAAATGATAATACCTACCCTGGAGGATTGCTGCGAGGGTGAATGAGATCATGAGCTGAGAAGCATTTAGCATAGCATCTCTCATATTAGGTGTCAGCAAATCTTACTACCCTTCTCCTTTTCCTATGCCTTTCATTTTTCTTTCAAGTCTTCCCCTACCTAGGCTCAGTAAATTACCCCTATATATAACCTTCTATAAAATTATGTGACACTGATTTCCTGGGCCCTGGGTGGCATCAGAGTAACTATGTATACCACAAAGGCCCCTACCCAGCTTACCTGGTAGGACAAGGGGAGCCCAGGCCCAAAGGGGCAGAAATCCTGGCCAATGTGGGAATGTGGCATCCATTGCACACTGTGGGTGGGGAATCCAATCCCGAGGCTCCAGTGGCAGCTCTGTCTCCTCCCAAATCACCAAGGACTCACAGGTAGAGTCCTGGGTCCTCACAAAAGAGGGGACATGGCAGCCAGCTCAATGGAAGAAGAACTAGACTGAGATCAGAGCTTTCCAGCTGGCCATTTACCCTAGCCAAAGCATGTTTGCGCTTCCTCAGTTGTAACACGCAGGGGTGTGGACAGATGGTCTTCATGTTCTCTTTGTGATCCACATGGACCCCCATTTTAAAGGCTACAACTGTGGTTTAATCAGAAGTCCAAGAAGCATAGTCCATGCATCCAAAATATATTTTATTGAGACTGGAGCATTGATAGTAGAGTACTCATTATGACACACTGGAAAGACTCAAGTTTAATAACTTTCACATTCACAAATACAAATTGCTTTTGGCTCTGAGGCACACAGAGAACAAGGGGAATGGGGAAGACAAGGTACTGACAGGAGACCTAGACTTAATGGGCCTTCTGTGGGTCTTCCCCTGCAGAGAAGGGTCTCCTCTGACTTGGTAGTATTTCTAGATGTCCTCAACAAGGAAAAGCTTCACTTTTCCCATGATTCCAGAGCAGGACAAATTATTTGTAGTCCTCCTGTCTGTTCTGTGTCTGGTTCAAAGAATTTCCATGGCAGCATTAAGATGAAACAATTAGCTACTTCTTGACACCGCAGAGACAGTAGGCACAGGCCTGGAAGCCATTTGGCCTGAAAAATCCACTTGGGATCCCTATGGGCTTAGAAGCCTCTCTGTCCCATGAAAGTCAAACATTTCAAACATTCTCATAAATAGAGAGAATAGGATAATGAACCCCCATGGTTCATTATAGGAAAGCAGATGATATGACCAAGTTCAGTTTCAATGAATAGTCAAGAGATCTAAGTGAACCTTGGACAAAGCCCTTCTCCCCAAACCTCAGTCTTCCATTCAGCTCCATATCCATGTTTGCTTTCAAGATCTATCTGGTGCTAGAAAGAAACCCAAAACCAGTGTGAGATTGGCAATTGTTTAGGGTGGGTGAATTAAGTTCTATTCTGCCTATGTCTCCTGGGTGACACAGTGAGTCACCCAGGACCAGACGGAAGGTGATGAAAACAGTCTCTGGAATGAGATTTCTCTGGCATGTTGAGTCCTTAAGGACTATGATGATGTCACAGGTTTCTGAAGGTGACATGTGAGCTGGGTGATGTTGACAAGTAAGTCGTCTTTGGGGAACTGGCATGAAGAAGCCTTATTATTCAGACAATACAGAGAAGTGGCCTGTCTAGACAGCTTGGGAGGATTTGAAGTGTCTAAGTGCAATTATTTCCCGCATGTTGGAGAGCCTGCTCCATCATCTCCTGTAAAGGCAAGGCAACATTTTACCAGCACTTGTTCCATGTGAGTGCAGGAGAGAAGGAATTATGCCTCCTGGATGAGTTTTGTTCCCCGGCTCATCACGATGGCTGCCATCGGAGAAAAGGTACTTCATCCAGACCTTTCCTACCACTGGTTATGAGATGAGGGCAGTCTGTTGGCTCCATGACAGCCTTCTCCTTGGGTTCCTCTCCCACCTCTTCTTTCAACTCTTCGGTGTACACTACTCTTGGGAGAAGTGCTCAGAAGTTCTTGTTATGCCCTGTTTCTTGCTTATCTCTACGTGGAAAAGTGTAATTCAGAATGGAAGGAAGAGTGTGCACACACACGCACGCAAAGGAAAAAGTTGCAAATAAATCCACAGTGTATTAACAAAACTCATCACCATTGGTGACAGAAGGGGGTGATTTTGTTTTCTTCTTTGTGCTTTTCTAAATTTTCCCAAGTTTTAATAATAATTCTTCTTTAAGAGAACTCAATAATTCCTCTTTGTTTTAAGGGAATTGAATTGGTCCTTTCTTGTCATCTATCCAGCCAGCCGCCACACTGTTGTGATTCATCCTGGCCCAGGACATCAGAAAGTGAGGCAAAAAAACCCCCTCCGTGTCAGCTGTGGCTCACTCACCTTTCACTGGCCAATGAATCTTGTTCAAGTGGAGTTTGGCGCATCTGGGTCAGCCACATCCCCAGGATGACTCAGGTGTCCTTTATGAATGTTTGGTGGCAGGGAGGGTTGTTAGGCAGAGGGCTGACTCAGCCCTCATGTGGGCTGAAGCTGTCCTGGTTTCTCTGGCTCAGGGAACCAGGGTGATATGCCTCGCAGCATTTCTTAGACAGGAATTCATAAACATGTGTCTAATTGGTAGTTGTCTTTTAGTTTTCACATCAAATGGGGTAGGAGGCTAGACAGCATTTCCTAGGAAATCACGGGTCCCATGGCTTCTGTAGGACCTTGTTTCAAGCACTGTGAAGGTCATGTGTGAGAGGACAGGCTTTTTTCCAGGTTCTGTCCTCAGGCCCTTTCCCAACCTCGGCTGGAGACAGCCCTCCCCCTGCCTCTCACCGCCCAACCCCAGACCCCCGTCTAACTCACTGCCACAATGGGCTCCACAGAAGACAGGTCTGTCTTCCCAGACTGGAGTTGGGAGGAGGACAGGAGGTTGTTGGCTAGTGGACCCCTCCGGCCATTGCTCTTCTCTGTCCAGGCCACCCTGAAGGAAGGAACTGGGGAGGGTGGCCTTCCCTCCTGGGGCTTGGGCAGCCTTTGGCACATGCTCAGTAATGCCTTCAGCTCGACCCTGAAGTTCTCGTTGAGCCAGCAGTAGATGAAGGGGTTGTAGCAAGTGCTGCTCATGGCAAACCAGTGGAAGGCGAAGTAGAGGGCATTGTTGGTGTGGATGACCTTGCTGGACAGGAGGAGGACATAGCAGTTGAGGGGGAACCAGCAGAGGGCAAAGAGGACCACCACCAGCATCAGCATCTTGATGGTCTTCTTCTTCTTACGCCGTAGGGCCAGGTACTGTTCTGTGGTCACATCCCCGATTGTGTTGCACAACCACAGCTTCTTGGCCACTCGGGCGTAGGCCACGGAGATGATGAGGAGGGGGAGGATGTAAAGCAGGATGAAGGTGGCCAAATCCAGGTACTTCCAGAAGAGGTCAGCTGGCTCAGGGAAGTCTGGCAGGCACAGGGAGCGGACAATGTCCTCACTGGTGGCAGGGGAGAGGGGGAGAGAGAGAGAGCGAGATACAGAGAGAGGCAGAGAGAGAGAAAGAAAGCGGAGGGTGTGCCATTCGTGTGGAAAGGCCTCATCCCAAGAAGCACTGGCCTTTCTCCCCATTGGGCACATCCCTTAGAGTGCTTTTGCTATAGAGTAATTATTTGATACATTTTTGGCTCTCCACTAGGTTGGGAGTTCTATAAAGATAAGGAAACACCTGTTCTCTCTGTGTCCTCTTAACCTTACATTATTCTTGGCCTATAACAGAGACCCGGTAAATATTTGTTCAATGAATGAACGCCAACACTGGTATTCCTAGCCTTAGAACTAACTCAACCTGAGAGCACAATGTGCTCAGGAAATCTTGGAATTCCTCATGTTACTACCTACTCCCATTCCAGAGGGGAATTAAGGAGTGGGCCAAAGAAATGATGGGTCTTAAGAATGTGAGTGGGAAAGCCTGAACTAACATACCTTCAGCCATTCATATAACAAGTATTTATTTTCTATGGAATGCACCTGGTTCCTCTTTGAGGAGCCCCCAGAGCTGGTGTGTTAAGACTCTGCAGATTATGACCTGCTGAATGAGGAGGCCTGAGTCCCCAGGCAGGGTTGGCAAGTACTTCCCTTGGCATCCAAGCTCCCACTTTGGGGAAGTGAAAACCCTAGGGCCATTTTGATGGAAGGCACAGTTTCAATACACTCACACAAAGGAAACAAAGTCCCAAGATTTATTACTTACAAATCCCAGAATGGAGGCACAAGGAGCTGGGGGAAGGACAGTCCTCTGTCCCGGGTCATGAGCAAGCAGGAGACAGAGAGCAGGGTTGCAAGCACCTCTTGTGTGGAAGGTGGTTGGGGCGGTGGTCACTAATTTTTCACAGCCTCAACTCTGAGTGGTCCTTTTAAAAGGTGACCCGGGAAAAACAAGGCAGGAACTTGTGGTGGGAATCCTAACCCCGTGTCCTAATCTAAATGTCCAGACTGTGGGTGTGAATGGGGTTGTCATATTATAAAACGTCTGAGCAGCAACTCAAAATGGCTGTTTTCTCCTCACACCATGTGGCTTGTTGCTCTTGTCATATGTGCTGGTGGCCATCACTACTGAAAGAGAGAGAATTCTCTTTGCTTTTGTTAGCAGGAGAAAAAAAACCCAGCTCCCCACGTGTGAAGGCAGATGGGAGTCTGAGTGCTAGGGGAATTAGATATGTGATTCATTTCAATATTGTAGAATTTGGGGAGGGAGCCCTTATAAATTACAGTTGACCCTTGAGCAACATCGAGGTTAGGGGTACTGACCCCTGCACAGCTGAAAACCCGTGGATGACTTTTGACTCCCCCCAAATTTAACTACCAATCACCTACTAGTCACCGGAAGCCATACTGAAAACCTGAATGGTTGATCAACACATATTTTGTACATGTATTATATATTTGTATTCTTCCAATAAAGTAAGGAAAAAAGAATGTTATTAAAATCAGAAGGAAGAGAAAATACATTTACAGTGCGGGGCTGTATTAACTGCAAAAATCCACATAGACGTCGACCCACACCATTCAAAGGAGTGTTGTTCAAGGGTCAACTGTAGCTGTAACCGGCCTTTAGAGCTTAGTCTCCTGACCCTGCCTGTGTCACAGAAATGTGTGTTTTTAAATGCACGGTTCAGGACGAGCAGTACACGGCTACTGTGGGACACCAAGACTGCAACCCCCTCGATCCCCTCACATCCCCTTCACTGATCTGGAGTGCCAGGCCGCTAGCCCCCCGGCCACCCCTGCGATCTTGTAGGTGCCTAGCTTCAGGGGTCACTGAAATCATTTCCTACAGATCCCCTAAGAGCCAAAAGGGGCTGGGAGTTTCCATTTTCCCCAGGGAAGCCTGGAATATGAAAGCCCAGCTCCCTTGCCTCCAGGCTGCACAAACTCTATGTTATCTTTGCTCTAGAGCCCCCCTGCAACTGGCTGTAGCTACCCCTGACATCCCTCCAACCCCTAAACTGCACCTTCCCTTGGACTCCCTTCCCCTTGCTATCCTGCGTCCCCGCTCGCTCAGCCATGACCCCGAGGAGCACTTCCTTAAAATCACAAAGCACGATATGTATCCCAGGGTCTGTTTCTAAGGAACCTCATCGAAAACAACTGTGAACTGATGAAAATCACTCGAAGCTCATTCATTCATCCATTCATTTATTCAGTAAGTAAGTAATTATGTATTGAGGGCTTGTTATGTGGAGACAGTAAGTTAGGTGCTCGGGGACACCAAGGTAGCAGAATCAGAAATGGCGCCAACTCTCCCCAGCCTCATAGTTTAGCTGGGGAGAGCACCTTCGATGAACTAGTAGTACACACAAGTGTTTAAATTTAAAAAAACATGAAGTGCTTTGAAAGACATTCTCGTTCTGTGAGAGCATATGACAAAGAAGCCTGAAAGGGAGGTAGGGGAAAGTGGAGCTTCGTGCCTCGGACACACAGACACGGGCATGTTCCGCTTGCAGGCCGGGTGATGGAATTTGAACATCGCCACTTTAGACAAGGCCTGCGCGATTTTGAATCTCGGTCTGGGTGGCCGTGTAAGTACATGTTCCCGGTGAAAGCTGCTGCTCGCTCCTGCCTTGACCTTGCAGACAAACTGGGTGGAGGACAAGCAGGGAGCTAAAGTGGTTGAGAGGAAAAGCGGAGAAAGAGCGGAAGGAATGTGGCAGATAGGCCTCGGGGCTCAGGGGCAAGAGGACGGGAGAGAGACAGAGGGAACAGCCGGGTGCAGCGGGCACTGGGTAACTCGGAGGCAGAGGGGGCTCCGACTTCCCTCCGTCAAGGGCCTGGGAGGCCCCAGGCTACTCCTTACTAGTCAACTCACCTGTACTTGAAGGTAAATAATTTCTGGCAGATGGCGTGTGGGAGCGAAAAGAACGTGGCCATGGTCCAGATAACTGTGATGTAGATAACGCCTTTCGTGATGGAGATCCGGGGTTTTAACGGATGCATGATGACCTGGAAAACAAGCAAGGTGTGCATCACTGGCTGAAGCAGTTCAGAAGCAGATGGAATCCCGACAGAAGCCGCTCCTGTGTGGCAGTAAGCAAGCGGGTCCTATTTATAAAGAGGCACCCTTCATTAGGATGAAGCCCCTGGGCTGCCCCACCCCCACAGTCTGGACTCAGAGGCCTCTTGCAGCTCATATGTGGCAGAACCAGGGGCCAGTGAGGGGACGGGGCAGGGGTAGAGTAGGAGGTCGGCCTGCGTGACACCCACAAGGCCAGCAGAGGGACAAACCATGGTTGGCCTCCATCTTGGGATCTGATCGGGCCCTGCCCCCCATGATTCTGGACCCCTTAGGTTATGGAGAGCTCTGAGAGGGTCTGAGGTGACAAACATGGAGAGGAGACTCTCCCCACCTGTCATGGGAAGTTAAACTGACATTTATCTGGGGAGTCACAACACTGGTGATACAATTCTTTATTTGTTTATTTAAATTACTGCATTTATTGCTAAAATTGCAGTGGGGTCTGGTTTTCCCATGCCCCTAGTAAAGCCCGTGTTGCAGGCTTTGGGCTGAAAAGCATCCCGGAATTGCTACAGTATGACAATCCATTCTCCTAAAAGGTTTAAATCAAGACTTGGGAATTTCATGGCATCCTCATTTTAAGACTAGGGGCATTATTTCTTGATGAAGGCATCCTGAGACAGGTGAATCCAAGGTCAGGGGGAGAGGTCATAAAGAGCTGCCACCACTTGAGGATGTCATCCCAGGACACAGTGGACATTCTGGCTGTGTCCCCCCAAATTTTTCTCCAGTTTTTTTCTAGGTTTAATGAGAGGAAGTGACTAGGCTTTAGAAGCTCCTTAGCACATACCCCTTCTGGATTTTGTCATCTTTGCCCCTCACGCTCTCTCGTTGTTCAGGTTGCTGAAGGAAGTGAGAGCCTGGATCAGAGGTCCGGACATCACTCAAAGATTTCACTGGCTTTGGGACAAGGCCCCATTTTTGGGGTTTATGTCACAGCAACGGGGTCAATGTGGGCAAGACTTATCCCCTTGTTCCTCAGACCAACCCACCTTTGGCCCAAGGGTCAACTGTCACTTAGCTATGTTAAATGGGGGTAAGCATGGGCCAGGTAAAGGCAATTCAGAGTCCCTCTTGTTGAATTAGGGAAGAAGGTTAAGAAAAGGCAGAAAAATATTTGTATGCCGCCTTTTCAGACTTTGCCCAAAGCATCTGCGATATAAATGCCAAAATGATGGCATTTCAGGGCTAAAGAAATCTCATAGTTTGCCAAGCCCAATTCCCTACCAGATGATGAATGTCCTCTAAAACATCCTTATCAAGTGTCATACAGCCCTTGCTTAAAAATGGCCAGTGAAATGAAACTCCTTACCTCCCCAGGCAGCTTTGATCTGTTAGAAAATTCTTTCTCATACTGAGTTGCAGCTTTGAATCTGCATCTTTGAAGCCTCCTCTCCCTTGGTCTTTGTTTGCACCTCTTGGAGCTACTCAGAATAAATCCTACCCTCTCTTTGTCCTGGTGGTCCTTATGATATTGGCCTTGCAGATGCCTCTGAGCCTTCTCAGAATAGGGGGGTCTAGTGATCAGAGCAGAGGCTTGAACCAGACAGACCTCAGTGCTAATCCTAGCTTCATCATTCACCAGGCAGGTGATCTTGGGAAAGCTACCCATGCACTTTCCTTAGCTTCCACTCCTTGATTCAGCACGGACCTAAGGATGCAACATGGATTTACCAGGTTAGCATGTGCGAGGTACTTGCCATGGAGCCACCCTCCTCCAGGATAGGCACCCCCAGGCCCTTTTGGTTTCCTTTACCATATCCACCCATGTGCGTCTGATGGGGCAGGACAGTGAGGAGGGCCTTCCTGCCCTACCCTGAGGCCTACTCCTGCCACTGGACGCCCTAGCTTGTCTTCCTCCTCAACAACTGGGACCAGGGAATATCCATCTCCCTTGTCTCTGCCCTGCAATGATTTGCCAATCTCTTTTCATGTGTGACTTTCAGGTTTCCTTTTCAACCCCCAAAACAAGCTCATTAATTTCTGAGGCACAAAATGGAAGCAATGAGCCTTGGTTGGCAGGCGAGAATTCTACCACTGAACCACCAATGCAACGAGCCTTTGTTGGAATAACAAACTGGGAATAATGATTTTTTTGTAGCACTTAGCACACATGTTTTAAAATGCCTAGTCTAAGTGCTCATACTGGTCAATAAGAAGACAAATACACTTATTGAAAAATGTGCTAAAACACTGTCGTGAGGGGCCCTGCAGTTCCCTGAGAAGCAAAGCCAGAGGGGGAAGGACAGGGTGTTGGGGGTAAGTGCCCTCACCTGGTGGCGGTCAACAGCAATGGCTGTCAGCGTCAGTGCTGAGACGTGCAGCGAGCAGTACTGGGCAAAGCGGCTGACATGGCACATGCCCTTCCCGAACACCCATGTGCTGTTCACAAAGCGGACCTGGAAACCAGCCCACAGAGGTCAGAAGACAAACAGGCCTTGACTCTGACACCCACCCCTTGCGGCCTCTGAGGAGCATCCCTCAGGAGGCTTCTTCCAGCCCCTCCCTTCTTCCATTCTACACTACTCAACTGTGGGTCACACATGATTTTCTCTGGCATGACTGATTTTCAATCACTCGATTCAACAAAACCTGATCATATCGCTGGGGCTAAGCCCTCTTAGGTGCCAGGAGAGCGTGGGAATCCATGGGCTTTGGACTTGGACTTGCAGCCTCTACTAGTTTCTAGCTGTGTGACCTTGGGTGAGGTATAAAATCTCTCTGAACCTCAGTTTCCTTATTTGCAAAACGAGGCTTAAAAATCTCTACCTTGTAGGCTTATTGTAAGGATTAGGTTTTAAAAAGTCTATAAAGGGTAGAATTCCATGTCTGGCAGACTGGTAGAAAGGTATTATCAGAAATAAATAGTAGCTATTTTTCTGGTAACAATAAAACCCATTCTTAGCCCACATGAGTTCAGACTTAATGGGAGACACACATCTGAAAAATCACAACACAGCGTGGGGGCTGTGTTCTCTAATGTTGACTAAGCAAACCTTGCAATTTTATCTGGGAAGGGGACTGAGGAGCCTGGAGAGGGGTGGGCAGGGCAGGGAGAAGACAAGCTCCAGGACTGCGTGGGGCCCTAGGAGCAGGCCTAGGCCTCATCCCACACCACCCATGGCTGCCTGCTCACTCCCTCAGCGCTCGAGCCGCTCCTGAGTGATGCCCCATGCCCAAGAAAGATCAAGCGCTGATTCCGAAGGAGTCTGGGGAGTGGACTCAGGTAGCTCAGGATGCAAGAAGGGAAGTATTCAGTGCCCTACAGAAGGCCGGGACAGAGGCATCAGGGCCACAAGGCAGGGTGGGAGGGGGCTGAGATAGAGAGGAAAAATGTTATAGAAAGAAACCAAGCAAGTCAGTTGGACAGAAAGAATATCATGTAGTGATTTATAGCAGAGTATTTGCCTCTTACGACTGTCACCTCGGGCAAGGCTCTTAGGCTTAACGAGCTTCACTGTCCTTGTGGGTAAAATGGGCTAACCGTTGTTAGGAAAATCAAACAAGAGATAACACGTGAAAAGAAGGTAGAGCAGTGCTTTGTACAGAGGAAGCACTTAACACGATTAACTACCCTCGTTATGACATATGAGATACCTGACATGAGCTTTAAGGAGTACATAGCCTTTGTACCTGTGGTAGTACGAACAAAGGGCTTGGCACTGAGTCAGAAATCCCAGGCCCTGTTTGAGGAATAAGCAGTGGGACGGTTTAGCGGGAGTGTGTGGAAGAGAGTCATGAGGGACGACGAGTGTGGCCAGATTGTGGCACTAGGACAGTAGACTGTAGCTTTACTCTCTGTGGGGTTGGCAGGTAGCAGCCCTATGAGGCTTCTGAGCAGTCCATTAACATTATGGAGCTAGACATCTTTAGCAACTCCTACTTCTCACCTCCCACATTCAATACAGTACAGAGCCAACCAGGGCTGCCTCTCAATGGCTTTCAGATCCATTTCCTCTTCTCCAGTCCCAAAGCCATGGCCCTCATGGAGTGCCCCATCATTTCTCGCCTGGACCGTTTACAGCCTCCTAGCAGCTTCCCCTGTCCTCCAGTCTTGTCCCATTTGCAATTCAGCCTTCACACTGCTGATGGTATTTTCTTAACTAAAAATCAGATTATTGTCACCTTCCTGCTTCACATCATCCTGGCCCTGGGGACAGAGCCAGATGCCTCCAGAGTATCCAGGCCCATTCTCAAGCTGGCCCCAGTCTTCCTTTCTGGCCCACTCTGCTGGTCTCCAGCTACCCACCCCCCCACCACAGCACACCTCCCACTGTGCTTTCTACCTCACTGTTCCAGCTCCATTGAGCCATTCAACATCCCCCCAGACACACCATGAGCCTTGATGCCCTTTGCCTTTGATCTCCCCTTTCCTCTATCTGCATGGAACCTTCACCTCAACCTGGGAAACTCCTGCCCTTCCAGGCCCCTTTGAAATGTCTTGTTCTTTGTACAGTCTCCTTTGACCCTCTCCTGGGACTCTGGCAGAACAGAATAAATGATTCTCTCCTCCAGGCTCCATCACACTCTGTGTATGCCTCTGCCATGGGAATTCCAAGTACTGTTTGCATTTCTCTCAACAACTAGAGCTGTCATGTGTAAAGTGGACAGGAAAGGAAACCAGGGAGGAAAAACATTGTCACCAACTAGCTGGAAGACAGGATGCCTTACCTTAGAAGACCCTCCCCCCAACCTTTTCATCCTCCCTGCTTGCCAGGACCTTGTAAGCTCTGACAAGAGTTTAGATTGGGGCAGTTATACTGGTCAGGTTCAAGGCCAAGCTGCGCTGGATTATCTCGAAGGCATTCTGGGTTCTCAGGACCCTGCCACTTTCTCTCTTGCAAGAGATCATCTAAGGCAGGACATGTCAGGTCTCAGTTAGTCTAGTCTGGGGTCCATGGCTTCTCTCCTCCACCCCCTTGTGTCTGCTGAAGATTTAATTTTGCATCCTGCTCTGGGCAGAGCAGCCCAGGGGCCATGCCCTGGGGCCAGTTCTCATCCTGGATGGCCCAGCCCAACAACCCTCTCCTCCACCCACATTGCAGACTATCAGGATAGAAGCCAAGGGGGTGGGGGTGGGGGGGAGCCAAGGGGAACCAGAGATTCTCTCTCTTGTGCTTCAAGGTAACAGTGGGTAGGGGAGGGGGATGTCCTTGGCTAGTAACGAGAGGATTCTGAGTAGCCAGGAGTGGGTTAGATATAAGCGGGCCGGCGAGCAGGAAAAGTCCATGGTTTGGAGTAGTGGAAGCTTAACATGGCCCAAGAAGCCCTCCTCACCTGCCACCCCCAGGTTCGGTGGCTTAGTGGACAGACCTCTGGACTTGAGTCAGAAAAGTAATTCTTACCCTGTCTCTGCCAATTACTAGCTAAATGACCTTGGACAAGGGATTGAACCTCTGTGCCTTAGTTTCCTCATCTGCAAAATGCAATGTTCTCATAAACGAGGACAAAAGAGAGAATGTAGTTTTAAAATGTGAGGTTTGGAAGGATGTTCACACAAGTGGATGAACTTGTGGGAGTTCACCTTCTTCTTTTGGCTTCTCTATTATTTCTGGTTGAGTGTGTGTGTGTGAGAGAGAGAGAAAGAGAGACAGAGAAGTACGAACAGATACTGCTTTGGTAATAACTCAAATAACAATAAGGTTATTCCATAAAGTGAAAAAAACGTTTACTCATGCTTCAGAAACCTCAGTCCTAGCCCTCACAGTCCCAAACCACTGAGGAGCACCGCACTCCCAAGTCACGGAGGGACAGAAATGACACCACTGATGCTAAGCAGCCAGGGCTTGTTGGGGGGAGGGGGGCACATCTGCCACCCATGTGCAAATGCCCCTAGCCTGGCCCTGGGACCAAAGCCCACCTCTTCATCTTTTCCCCAACACTTCTTACCCCAGCCTCATTGTCAAACCACAGCAGAGAGACACAATTTAAATAAGTGGTCTAGGAAAATGCACTTAAGTTTCTGTTAACAATTAGCAGTTGTTTGATGTTGCAGCCGCAGCACAAAGCCGCATCCTAGGGTGGCGGTGGAGGCGGGGGGGCATGGAATGCGCTGGAACTTCGGGGATGGGGGTGACTTAGCAATCTCTGCCAACATTTCCAGGAGCTTCGATTTATTGCTTGATATCAAATAGGCCCAATGCCCAGTGATATTAAATAGGAAGTGGTCATTCGTTCCGGGACGACTGCAGACACTCCAGTCATTGACCCCAGTGCCCCCAGCTGCAGAAGCTCGGGCTCAGAAGGTGATGAGACAGAAGAGAAAGAGACAGAGAGAGGACAGAAAAACAAAACCACAGAGAAGGACAGGAGGAGAGGGAAAGGGGGTCATAGAGGCGGGGCGGAGGAAGAGAGAGACAGAAGGACAGTCACAGGGAGGGAAAAAGATGAAGACACAAAGAGAGAGCGAGACAGAGCAGAGGGACAGAAAGTCTGCGAGACAGAACAGAGAGAGTTGAGACTTGAGCGAGGAGGGCAGAGGGGAAGGAGCTGGGGAGGCGAGGCCAGCCAGCCGGATCCGGGAAAACCGCAGGAGAACTCCGCGCACGGAGGAGAGGGGCCCCGGGGAGCGGGACGGGCGGGGGCGTGGAGGGCCGAGGGACGCAGAGCCGCGCCCGCTGAGGCAGGCGGGGGGCCGGGGCCTCACCAAGGTGAAGGGCGTGTTGAGCAGTGTGATCATGATGTCGGCGACCGCCAGGTTGACGATGAAGAGGCTGGTGGCCGAGTGCATTCGCTGGTTCTTGAAGATGACATGACAGACCAGGACGTTGCCGAAGAGCGAGAAGACGATGATGAAGGAGTAAGCCACGATGAGCAGGGCTTTCACCGTGGGGTTCTGGGACTCGGCCCCGTAGCGCCTCCGGCCCACAAAGTTCTGCCAGTCGGAGAAGGTGTAGTTGCTCCAGAAAAAGTGCGAGGCGTTGGACACGGCCAGGGCCGCCTCCAGGCCCGGCCCGGCGGCCCGGCCCTCGGGGCGCCCGGCAGCTCGCACCAAGGGGAGCAGGCAGAGCAGCACCCCGCGCGGGCCCATCCTGCACGAGCCCCGGCGCCCCAGCCCGCGCCGCGCCGCGCCGACGTCCGCCGGGAGGGAGGGGAGGGCGCGCGGCTGCGCTCGGGGCTGCTGGCCGCCCTTGCCGGGCTCTGCGCGGCGCTGCGGCTCGCCCCGGCGGCTCCCGCCCCTGCCCCGGCTCCGGCTTCGGCGGTGGCGCGCGCCCGCTCCGCCAGCTCGGCGGTCGCTCCCGCCCGGCCGGCTGCCCCTGAGGGAATGCAACTCCGCGGGGCTTGCGAGGCTCTGTCCCCGCGCGCGCTCGCCCGCTCGCCCGCGGGCTTTCTGGCGCTCGGCACCCGCCCGCTCCCACGGCGGGAGACAACTCCGCCCGGCTTCCAGGGCTCTTTCCCGAAGTCACACTCGCCCCTCCATCCCGCCTCAGCCTCGTTACCGCCTAGGGAGCAGGCAGGCGGTGGGAGCCGCCCACGCGGGGGCCTCGCGGTTGGGGCGGGCGTGCTGTCAAGCGGGGTGTGCCGGCTCCCGGCGGCTCCCTGCGCGGAGACCGGGATGCGCTCCACCTGGGTCGGTCTGAGCGCCAGCCCCGGCGCGGTTCGATACTGCGGTGGATCCCCAGTCCGTTAGGAACACGGCGGGCAGTGCAATAGATGTCAGGGCTTTTCCAAGCCCCTTCACGGACCAGACTTCAGATTTGCTGGGGGGCTTCCTAGGTTTTGTTTCCTCACGTGTATTAAGACAATGGGGGTGGGGGCGGTTTCCAAGGAAACTTCAAAGCGGGACAATCTGCTGACAGGATCCAAGAATCAAAGGAGATAAATAGCTATGCGCCATTTCTTGCCATAGAAGCTTTTGAAGCTGTAGTTAAGGAGTATATTACCCACGTTTTTGTTCTCTGCCTACTTTACAGGAAATCTTGATATCTTGCTCACCTGTTTTCATTCCCAGAGAGACTTGAGTCTCTCCCAGTCACCCCAGCCCGGCCACCCACGGATCCCATCCTGTGGAGTCAGAATCAAATCACAGCTTTGTCACTTCCTAGCTGTGAAATCCTGGGCAAGTTATTTAACTTGTCTGCCCGTGGTGAAAACCTTTCCTGGGCACCTGGGTGGCTCAGTCCATTAAGCGTCTGCCTTCAGCTCAGATCATGATCCCAGCGTCCTGGGATCAAGCCAGGAATCATCTGCTTCTCCCTCTGCCCACCCCACCCCACTTGTGCGCGCTCTCTCTCTCAAAAATAGTAAATAAATAAATTAAATAAATAAATAAATAAATAAATAAATCTTTTTTTTTTTTTTAAAGATTTTATTTATTTATTTGAGAGAGAGCACATGAGAGGGGGGAGGGGCAGAGGGAGAAGCAGACTCCCTGCCGAGCAGGGAGCCCGATGCGGGACTCGATCCTGGAACTCCAGGATCATGACCTGAGCCGAAGGCAGTCGCTTAACCAACTGAGCCACCCAGGCGCCCAATAAATATCTTTAAAAGGAAAAAAAAGCTTTCATTTTCCTGCATGTGGGGTTTTCAGAGACACCTGTATGGATGTCCCCACCACCTTGCTCTCTGGTGCTAGATATGCGGTATCTAGTACACAAGTTGACTACTTTTAACTGCGGGCCTCACCCCCATTCAAATGGTAAAGGTCAGGTAGACTGTCTATTGTCATCTCACCATGCTGGGACTCCAGCCCAGGGTCCTTCTGAGACTTCCACTTGGCCCAAGGGAAAGCCTGCTCCTTTGTCCCATGGGAACCCTGGAGAATGGGCCCCTCCCACCAAAGTCTTCTTACAAGGGCATGAGGAGAGGCCCCAGCCACCTCTCACTTTGGAACTTTTCTGGGAAAGTTAGATGTCAGTTTCTGTACCTCTTCAGACTTCAGATATACAGTTCGAGCTCTCCTACTAACAAGCAGCTAGGAAATGGTTTAAGTGTCATCATAATAAAATAACAGGTGCACTTATCCAGGTGGGAAGGAATCTGGGAAGTCATCCCAGAAAAGTGATACTTTGGCTCAGTCCTAACGGACCAGCAAGAGACAGGTCACAGAGGAGGCCGCAGAGGGAAGAAGATGGAATATTCCATAAGGAAGGAACCATGATACATGCAAAGACGTGGAGGTGAGTATGCTTGTGGCACATTCAGCAATGGCAGGAGGGATTTGAACGCTTTCCTGAGGGCACTGGGAATTCATAGAAGGGCTGAAGTACAAAACTGACAAGATCAGGCCTGCATTTTAGAAAGAACACTCTAGTGACTTCCTGGGAAACAGAGGGGCTGCAGCCAGAAGCAGGAGGTTTGGAGGCTGTTCAAGTGATCCAGGAGCAGAGGTGGGGCCTGAATCAAGATGCTGGCAAGGAGGAAGGTGCAAGGGTGACAGAGACAGAAGGGAGGGAGCATGGCTGACTGCCAAGTTTTCAGCTTGAAGTCAAACACAAAACATACCCAAGATCTTCCTTTGACCTCACCCCCTCCCGGAGCTTTGAGCCTACCTTTCTCCATTATTTTATCAGCAAGTTCAAAGGAGTCCACTCTTGTCTCCAGTTTTCACTTCACATTCACTCTTTCAGCAACTCTGTGTAGGGGAGAAGGTGGCGAGCAGCTGTCCTTCGATTCTGCTGATGGACCTGGCGGTGTGTGACTGGTATGTGACTGGTCCTCTGAGAAGGGACAGGAGTGCCAGGCAGATGAAGTAGTAAGTGTTTAGCTCTAGAAAAGAAACCAAAGGACTGCCTGTAAGCATGTAATTCAAGAGCTTGGGTAGACTTGATGTTCTACTAAGATGACTTGGCACCATTTCAGGGAGGCAAGGCTTAGAGTGTGCTGGTAATTCAGAGAATAGAATCCTACTTAGTCAAATTGTGTCCACTGTTGAGAAAGAATGGATGGGCAGGCTAAGGCTGGTCAGCACTGAGCACAGAGAAAAGAATCAAAGGTAGGCAGTGGCCTTCCAGGCACTGTCTTCCAAGTATCCTGCTTGGTGCTCTGTGACAGGTGCACTAATCTGGAGAACCTACTAATGCCTTCACTTTGATTCCTTGCTCCCCATGCCCACCTTGTAGATGTGAGGGCATTTATGCCAGGTGCCTGAAACCTTCTCCCCGAAAGACAAGGTGACATATTTTAGCTCTTAGCTTTCCACAGAAGCAAATCCTGAGACAAAGATTCTAGAGCAAGGGTTTATATTTGGGAAGTGAAGGCAAAAACCAGTAAGGGAGTGGAAAATCGAGACAAGGATGGGAAGCTGGCCAATGGTCTATTGTCAGGCCAGCTATTGCTGTGTGACTGCATCTTCATCCTGTTGGGAAAGCCGTTGTAAAGCAGACATGTTGGCTATCCAAACCAGTGGGCAGGAGCTGGATATCTACCCACTAACTCCTGTCAGTCACTGGTTGAAGGCTTCTCCCTGGGGTGTGAGAATTCTCTTGCACTTCCAGCCGTCAGGTAGGCAAGTTCTTCTGGTTGGAAGTTGGACTGATGTGCTCCGAAGGGGTGGAGGGTGCTCACAATATCCAAGGTTAGGCACAAAGTCTAGAATCACTTCTTCTTCCTCTTCCCCGGGCATTCGGCTTTCTGCTCGGCCTCCCAAGTTCCCAGCGCCCAGCTCTCCTGGCTCCAGTTTGCCCTCAACTATAGCAACAGCCCAGTGCTTAATGAGAGAAGAACATCCCCCCACCCACCCCACATCAAGACTAAGGTTTAAAAAGAAGTTCCTTCCTCAGAGACTTTAATGATTCTGTATCATTACATTTGCTATTATGAAGATGATTTGGGAAGACACAGAGCTGCTCTTACAGAATGGGACAGTTCCTTCCTTTGTGCATTCTGAATAAAACTGAGGACACTGTGTATAGTCAGGAGGGGCCAAATAGTAATTATATTTCTGTTTCTAATAATAGTCACACGTATTAAACATACCGAAGAGCAGAGTTTAACTCTTTCAAATGGACTTGAAACAGATGAAAAATAGTAAATCACCTCACCAGCATTCACAAGACAAAGAATAATAATAATATCACACAGAGGCTTCAGAAAGAAGTGTTTGAGAGCCTCACTACCTCGACAGTCCCGGTACTGTGAGCAATCTCTCCCCTAAAGCCAATGGTATTTCCTGAAAAGGTCCTAGTTGAGTTAAAAACTCACCACACCCACAATTCTTCTCTGGTGCCACTCATAGTGGCAGAAGGGAAAAAAGAACAATTAGCATCATGTCAGGCACATGACAGTCCCTCAAGTTGATCTGTTTTAATGGCAAAGGTGGGATGTCATCATACTTTAGTTACAAATGAATCACGTAGACCTGAAATATAAAGTATGGCTTCAGATATATTCCCAATGTAATAAAAACACAGCGTGTGGGCATGCTACCCTTGGAATCAGTTTCCAAATACACTGGAAATATTCCAGTCACTGGAGCCATAGGCTAAAATGATATATTTAGGGGACGCCTGGGTGGCTCAGTCAGTTAAACGTCTGCCTTCAGCTCAGGTCATGATCCCAGGTGCCCGGGATCACGTCCAGTATCGGGCTCCTTGCTCAGGAGGGAGCCTGCTTCTTCTCCCTCTCCCTCTGCCTGCCACTCCCCATGCTTGTGCTCTCTCTGACAAATAAATAAAATCTTTAAAAAAACGATATGTTTAGGATAAGTAAAAGGAAGTACACCCAAATCCCAACATACAGTTTGTGGCTCCCAATACTTCTGTAAGTGGTTTGAACTTACTCTGCACTTTTATGTAGAAAGTTTTATAAATGGTGGAGCGGGTATTGGGCCAACTCATAACAGCCCGTTTAATCCATACAGTCAACAAATGGTAGCATTAGCTGTGCCACCACAGACCTCCCAGCTACTGTTGGTGCTCCAGAGTGCCATCCTCCATTATCTGGTCCTCTTGAATTAAATGTCCCCCTGGGTGATCTCAACCATCTCCATTGGTTGAACCATCACTCACAAGTGACTCCAAGATCTGTATCTCTACTTACCAATCCTCTTGAAAGCTCCAGGTTGATATTACACATTCGACTGTTGCCTGGACATTCCCACTTGGAATACGCCCCCACACTTAAAATTCAACATGCTCCAAACTAAACTCATTATATCCTCTTCTTCCCTCACTTTCTTACACTTGCTCCTTTCCTTGATTTGTTCACCCATGGTTAGACTCTTGGGGTCATTTCACAGCCCACCCCCAGTTCATGATGCTATTGCATTCGAAGATGCTATTTGTCTAGAATTACCCTCTCTCTGATCCCAGGGCCAGAAAAACTCCTCTTCATTGAAGACCTAGCTGAAGTGTTCTCTCTCCTGTGAAGACTCACTGACCCCCTTGATTTCCACAACCCAAGAACAAGCCGTGTTGCCATATCTACTCAGTTAAAGTGCTCCTGTAACATGAGATCCATTCTCTGATGTGCACTTCCCTTGTGATACTCTCTTTGTGACTAATCTGTCAGCTCTTCCAGGTCAGGATGATGTTATTCCTAATGTCATGTCTTAGAGCCTCACACAGTGCCCAGACAGGGGAAATGGTCGTATATATTGTGGTAGACACTGGACCTGGAGTCAGATAACCCAGGAAGCAAGTCTTAATTTTTCTGGGTACTCCTTTTGCTATCTAGTAGGATCCTGGGGCATATCTAAGTTTTCATCATAGGAAATTATATAAACCTTCATCTTCTAAACTCAATGTAAAACCTACCTTCTGTGAAAGTATCTGATTTTGTTGCTAGGTAACAACTTAAAATGAGGATTTCTTCATTAGATCTCTGAGGGGGCAAAGAGTATCAGATAGGATTCCTCTAACAGGTGGAACCATGGAGTTCATGTTTCAAGGAGATTCTCTGTAATCCTACAGGTTGAGTCATATTTCCTAGCACAAGCTCTAATTCTATGTTCTTAATTGCTATTGAGCTATTTTTTCTTTTTTTTTTTTTTAATTTATTTGAGAGAGACAGAAATAGTGAGAGAGAGCTCAAGCAGGAAGGAGGGGGAGAAGCAGACATCCCACGGAGCAGGGAGCGCGATGCAGGGCTCGATCGCAGGACCCGGGATCATGACCTGAGCCGAAGGCAGAGGCTTAACCATCTGAGCCACCCAGGCGCCCCTCTACTTCTCTTTTATTTCTGCTGTGTGCTTTGTTTCAAATCAGATCCTTAGAAAATGAAAGAAAATTAAGCATGGTA